TAAAACTTAACTAGCTCAATTTCCTTTCCATGTCATGGCTAGTTACTCAAGCCATGCTTTATCACTAGGGTATCATGCCATGTCTTACGGTGTGGGAGTCTTGGCATGCCGGCCACCATGATGGCCGCCCAATATTGAACCCCTTGACACCTCACGTCCCAAAGAGAAGGGACATAAGGCTTGAGATACTTGCCAATTATTAATCGACATGTAGCATCCTATCCTCTTACGACAAACAGGCCTACTTGGACAGGTGGCCTGGACAATAAAGGGTCTACACCGACAACGAATCACCTGCTCATGCCATGTAAATGGCATGGATCCATCCACCACATGAGTGTGGCTTATCAGTTATGACCAGGTTCTCACATCACAAATCTAACTAAAACTTGACACTTCGACCTCGTATTTTTTAGCCATGATTGGCTTTTGATTTTTCTTTTCTCTTCTTTTTTTTACTAATATTATATTTATTTATTTATTTTAATATAGAAGAGAGTGACAAACGTCACTAATATCCATGCCCTTTGGCACCCACCAACGTGCCAAAGGTGTACAACCACTGCCAAGTCCATGGGTTAAACCAGACCAACCATCCATACACTACTTGTCTTCCCTCCATTAAGGGAAACAACTCATTCGCTGTTGGTTTCAAATTTTCCAACTTAATAATGGATGGCACCCTCTCAACTTGCCTTGTCTTAATGGGCTTGCAAGGGGTCCCATGATCCACTGCCTTGGCCACCTTACTAGACATGTTGAGTTGATGTAGAACCCGATGTGTTTGTCTCGTCTTAGGTAGTGCACTAGACATTTTCAACTCCTTCGACTCATCAAAGGGGCCAAGAGTTGTCATCTGTCTTATTTTACCCAAACTAGGCACATGCTTACTCTTCCCATATGGTTGAGAAGATGGGTGTTTGGACTTACAGAGTTGACGACCACCCTTATGGCCAACTTGACTCTTTCTAAAACCCATGTCTTCATGGTTTTTACACTTAACACATAACAACCCTTGATTCTTTATAGGACCATGAATGGTTGGTGTGTGTCGAGATGTCTTATTCATACCTTCTTGTTTGCCATTCATGTTTGGCATGCAATGGGTGGCTTTAGGCATGGACTTGCTTCCTCGTCCATCCCCTAACACCAACTCATACTTAGAAATTTTTTGAGTGGGTTGGGTGTGATGAACACTCCTAGACTTGTTCTCCACTCGTTTCTTCACTGTTGGTGACATGCCCCCCTTTCCACTGGTTGGAGACATGTCCCCCATAGCCTTGTTCATGGTTTTTGACGTGCCCCCTTTGCCAAACTCAACTACACTACCATGCTTACTACAAGCATGTGTGGCTTGGGTTTGTTGTGGCTTCTTGGGTATGTGTATCTTTCTATTGTTTGTGGTTGATGATATGCCCCCTTGTCGACCCTTCATGGGTGGCATGCTACAAGGGGCCTCGCCTCCTTGTGCACTCTTTGACACGTTGTCAAAGTTATGAAAATCATAGGTGGCATGGGTAGGCAACACCCACTTAAACTTGCCACTCACTCCATCCTTCATGTCTGATGACATGCCCCCCTGCCCACTGCATGGAGATGGAGATATGCCCCCCATGCCATCCTTAGGAAACAAATATGGTGTTTTGTTGGACACACCATTTTGTTCACCTTTCTTGACATCAACTTGCCCCTCACCCTGACTCTTCATCTTCATCTTGTCAGGTGGTAGGCGTCCATGCACCTCTTCCTGCCCCCCTGGTGGTTTGCATCCACCAGATTGCTTAAGCATCGATGGCAACGAGGTTGGGCAAACTTGTGGTAGCACATCCATAGCTAGTGACCCTCCACCAACTGTCATGTTCAAGAATGGTCTAGCCTCTGAGATAGTTTTTAGAGTAACTGTCTGCACAGGCGGCGGTTGCTTTACATGGGTGGTGAATGTTTTAGTAATATTCTTGTCATAACCGCCTTGTTGAAGAGGTGGTTGACTCATTGCCGGAGAAGGTAAGTTCCCTAACCGTGGCTGGGTAGTCCGGCCACCGGAGAACATGATACTTGTATACTCCGTAGCAATACTTGGTGGCGGATCTATACCATTTTTTGGTAAAGAAATTTCTCGCACCACTGGTTCTATAAAATATTTTTTAAGCTTATCCAAGCAATATGTATTTTCTGTAGTTGCTTCAATCAATTCATCCAAACGTCTATCTAACATAGAACTAAAAGAAGCAAGTTTTAGACTTGTCTGTTGTGAACTTCTAACAAGTCCATTCAAACTCTCTTTCATCAATCGACGGATCTCCACCATCACTTGACGGTTCTCCACCACCATCTTGCAGTTATCATCCACCATTGAGCGGAGTGACATGGCAGTGGTGGTTACATCAACACAAGGCACCGCCGGTGGCAAGATCTCAATCATGCCATTGTTTCCGACAACACTTACTGTTGCTTGGCCAAATTTGAACTTGGCCGCCAACTCCTTCACAACTCCTGGTGAAATATCACCTTCCTGTTCTCTCAGTCGTGGAGCCATCAAATCAAACACACAGTGTCCCACCAGGTGTGCCAATTTGTTTTCCGGCGAGGAAAAAACTTGTGTTTGATTTCAATCAATGCACCTTTGACTTCTTGAACAACGATAATCAACACGGTTCACACCTCTCCGAACAATGTTCGAACGAGGGTGTTTGATGTTTTTGATGGTTTTTTGGTAACAAAGCTAAGTTAATTACACCTACTCCTATGGAGGTTCAGTGAGAGCTCCGAAAACTAAGGCTATGGCTAATTTGCAGAGAAAAGGATAAAGTTTGACATTGTGCGTCAAATGTTTGGTTGTGGAACCCTTTTCCCGTCTTCGTTTCTTCTATTTATAGCCACTAGGAGTAACTTCCTTGGTAACCGCATTGGTAACTGCTAGCCGGCTTGTTGCTCCAACCGCCTTAGAGACCCCTTTTTGTTGCCTTGATTGCCAATTGGTAACCGTTGTCTTGGTCTTCACCTCCATTGCCTTGGAGCTTCTTGACCCGTCTTGTTGACTGGTTGGTATCCATCGCCTTGGAGGCCCTTGTCCCATCTTGGGGTTGGTGGGTACTTGATGGCCTCGATGTTGGGCCTGGTTGGTGTTAAGCCTTGTCGCCCTGTCATGACTGGATGGGGTTGAGGTTATTTGCCTTAGCCTCCATGATGAAGTCTTGATCACATCCTCGACATCCCTGATGGCTCCATGCTCCTCGTCTTGATAGCCACCTCGATGAACCGTCTTGATAGCTAGGCCATATTACCCTCCTAGGCAGGACGAGAATTTGGCCCCTTTACCCCCAGGTCTCCACACTTAGTCTTAGAGTGACTGTCATGGCACTAACATGTCATCTTGGTATCAAGCCAATCTTGTCGGCTTGAGACCCTTGCTACCAAGCCGACCCTGTCGGCATGGTCTCCATACTTAGTTTTTGGAATCTCATCTTGGTATCTTGCACTCGGCCAGCTTGGTACCCCGTTAGGGGCCATCATGCCCATCTTGGGACTTAGTCTCCATATGGCCCCAAGGGGCTCTGTTTGATACCATTGTTGGCTTGACACCTGATGTCTTGCTATCAAGTCCGTCTTGCTTGGCCCCTTGTTGCCTGGCCATCAAGTCAGTCTCGCCGGCTTGATACCCTCTTGGGGTCATGGTACCCTGTCGCCTTGCTTGGCTGTCAAGCCTTACTTGCCGGCTTGGCAGGGGTCTTGGTACCAAGGTTGTCTTTCCCGCCTGGTACCCCCTTACCTCCATACTTAGCCAAATTCCATGTCTTGGTATCAAGCCTGCTTTGTAGGCTTGATACCCCTTTTTGCTTCTATGTCAAAGTACCAAGCCCTGTCTTGCCGCCCCCATTGGCTTCATATGGCCTCCTATTTGGTACCAAGCGTTTGGCACCCCGTTGTGTCGCCCTGTTTCCAAGACTTAGTTTTTGGATGGCCTCCTATTTGGTGCCCGGCTGGGTACCCGGCCGTTTGGCACCCCGTTGTGTCGCCCTGTTTCCAAGACTTAGTTTTTGGAGGGCCTCCTATTTGGTGCCCGGCTGGGTACCCGGCCATTTGGCACCCCGTTGTGTCGTCTTGTTTCCAAGACTTTGGTACCCGATCGTTTGGCACCCCGTTGTGTCGTCTTGTTTCCAAGACTTAGTTTTTGGAGGCCAAATTTCCTACCAAGGGGTGAAGGCATCGTCCGGCTATGGGGGCCACGGAGATGGGTCGGCTACTGTATAGAGAAGAAGGGGTTTGGCCACTTAGGCCCAAAAACCCAAACCAACAAGGCCTAGCTAGCTCTTTTAATTATTAGTGTTGAGCTGGCCTTATAAATCACTACCACTACTTGAAAATAATCAATGTGGTATTGAGTGATTTTTTAGTGGTAAACACGTACTTTTTCTCTTACTTAATATAAGAATACGTGTGAATGTTAACATATTGGTTGTAGTTATTAAGAGAAATTAATATCCATGGATAACCGTGGATACCCGAAACCCGAATGGGTATGGGCATGGTTTTGATTTTCTACCCGTTTCACATGTGGGTATGGGTATGGGTAAAACCCGAAGTACTTTGGGTAGGGTAACGGATATGCACTATCCGCCCCCGACCCGACCCATTGCCATCCCTAAGACAAAGTTAAAGATACAATGAAATGAAATAGAAACAAAGCTTATTGAGAGCACAATCCAGAAACGTGAAACGAAATGAAACTTTTTCAGCATTCATGATTACATAAACAGGACATAACAAGCCACCAAATGGACGTCTTAATATTTTTCTGACCAAGGATCTGATGGCATGAATGTCCGCAACCTGCAGCAGCATCCGTAGCAGAATGGTTTAGGCATTAACTATTTGAGCGGGCCACTGAGATATAGTGGGCTGATCTCACATTAGCCCATTAATCATACTTGAGCGGTTGAGTCCAAATTCGTGGGATATATGAAGAAACGTCAGACAAAAACAAAATGATTCAGTCGCGTCTCCCATCCAAAAAGCCGAAGAAAGAATCAGTCACGTCATCGTTCTTCTGTGTCCATCGCTGCGAGACCCGCCATGGAAGCTCTGAGCTCCTCTGCCGCCACCATCGTCTCCTCTTCTTCATCTTCTTCCCTCTCCTTCTTCTCACAGAAGCGAAACAAGGATTCCGCCTGCCGATTCCTCCGATGCCACAATTCTTCCCCCAAAAGTAAGCTCCCTTCCCCCCTTTCCTTCTCTCCAACAAATCGATTCCTAGTTGGCAAGTTTCCATTTGATTCGAATTCCGTAATCGATTGATCCAGACGACGGAGACAACTCAGATCTGCGCTCGAGCTCCGATTCGAAAGACTCAAGCAGCATCGTCCCTTTCTTCAATCACAACGCCCTCTCCAAGGTCTCAAATCTCTATTCTGTTTTTTCTTTTCATTTCCTTGTATTCGGATTCTGATTTCGTGATTTTGGAGCTGATCCTTTGGTAAATTATAGTCCAATTTCAATCAGGATGACGCCATGGGATTGGTTCTCAGTGCGGCGTCGCTGAGGGGATGGACGACTGGTTCGGGAATGGAAGGGCCGCCGGCACCCGCTGGAGCTGAGGATGGATCCAATACGGAGAAGGTTTCTACCTTACCGTGGTCTCTCTTCACCAAGTCTCCTCGCCGGAGGATGCGTGTGGCTTTCACTTGCAACGTCTGCGGTCAACGCACAACCAGGGCGATCAACCCTCACGCCTACACCGATGGCACCGTGTTTGTTCAGGTACGAACGAGAATTCGATTCTCTCGATGAAAATTGGTCGTCTGTGCTGCGGATTTCTTAGTATAGGGAATTGATCATCATGAGAAGCTCTTGTTAATTGGTGTGCTTTGCTAATTTGGCAGTGCTGTGGATGCAATGTGTTTCATAAGCTGGTGGATAATCTGAACTTGTTTCATGAGATGAAGTGTTATGTGAACCCGAGTTTCAAGTACAAGGACTCGAAATGGGATGGTGGTGTTTTTAGATTCTTCGATGTGGATGAAGATGAGGATGATCACGATGGCGATGATGGCAATGTTTCGTTTCCGATCTAAAGGAAGGCTGGAGAAACCGGTGAGCGCTTTATATACTGTGTACATTCTGATACATACTACCAGGTGTTTGTATATATGAAATGAAACCCTCTCTCTGTTCTGTTATTTATGGTGGTTCGGTCTGTTCCTTTGGGAATAATGCTATTACCTGCTGTTGGGATTAGAGGCTAGTTCATGTTTATCAGGTGCTAAGCACGTCATCAGACCAATGTCTTGTTGTTCCATATGTAAAGTTTAGTGTCAAATCCCGGTTTCGTCAATGAACTAGGCGATAATATACTGGTAATAGTCATTGGAGAGCATGGACTTGTGATATCTTGTATTCTTGCTTGTTTGGATGGTAGAAAATTTTCAGATATGGGAATAGGATTTTCACTTGCAGCATGGATGGTAGACTTTAGATGCTGTTATTTGTCAATACGCGATTATGTTCAGTTAGAGGGATGCTCTTGCTCTTGCTCTTGCTGTTTGATCAATGGCGGAAAAACCTATAGAATGTGATGAATGGCTTGGTATGTGCTTATAGCTGCACATCAGGTGAATATCGATGGATCGTTTCCTGGCGAGTTCATGCCTATTCAATAGGTAGCTGAAGGTCGAGATTGACTTCCCCCTTAGATGACTAAAGTACTGGCTGATTGTTTCTGGACGGACAAAGAGGACTGTGAGCGGCTAATCTCTAACCTTTCTCTAACTGCTCAAGGAGGAAGGCACATATCGAAGGCGATAAACATGGAAGATTTCTTCTACGACATAAATCAAAATGGATCGATCTATTCCTATACAGATTCATCCGAGTCTCCCCAGAATAATCTCTGTGGTCTGAGAAGAGCTATTGAGCTCTTCCCACTACTTCAATGGCGACTTGGAAGAAGCCGCCAGAACACGAATTGGCGCCTAGGGTACCGTCTATGAAACCGTTAGGTCCTCGAGTTTTCTAATCGTTTAGGGATCGGCGAGTTTCGTTGTCGGCAGAGTAACCCTGGACAACTTATGTATACTGATTTTGCTTGTTAGCTACAGCATCTGGTATGGATAAGATTACCTTTGACCCATTTTGATGCCAAGCACTACATTGCTGAATGCTGGAGCCATCGTCAAATCTCCTCCTTTAATCCTCTCACAAAACTCGTAACTACACACCCCTGCCACATCACACTGCCACGTCACAAACCAGGATCCTCAACCAGCCAATCAGAACATCTCTGATAAGATAAAACCTCAATCTTTCCATTGCCCATTCCACATTCCATCCTCTCATTCCAATCCCACAGGCCACAATCTACACCACACAAACCACCAAAAACCTTCAAACAATATCTCACCCCATCTCTTATATCTCACACATCTCATCCATTCCCTTCAATTTCTGCGGCCAAACTTCAGAACACAAAAGCCAGAAACCCAATTAACCTTCTCCTTTCTAGCTCCAGCCATGGCCACCGTCACCTCAGCAGCCGTCGCCATCCCATCATTCACCGGCCTCAAGTCGGCCAAGGCCACCGCCGCAGCCACCACCACCGCCAGGGTCTCCGTCGCCGCAGCCCCGAAATTCGCCGGCGTCAGGGCCTCAATGAAGGACCTGGGCATCGCGGTGGCCGCCACGGCCGCCACCGCGATGCTGGCGGGCAACGCCATGGCCATCGACATCCTGCTCGGCAGCGACGACGGCTCGCTGGCCTTCGTCCCCAACAGCTTCACCGTCGCCGCCGGTGAGACCATCACGTTCAAGAACAACGCCGGGTTCCCCCACAACATCGTGTTCGACGAGGACGAGATCCCCAGCGGCGTGGACGCGTCCAAGATCTCGATGTCGGAGGAGGATCTGCTGAATGCGCCTGGGGAGACCTACAAGGTGGCCCTGACTGAGAAAGGAGAGTACACTTTCTACTGCTCTCCTCACCAGGGCGCCGGCATGGTTGGCAAGGTCACTGTTAACTGAGGAAAAAGGGGGAATTTGATGTTGTCGCCATGGTTTCTTACCGCTTGTTGTTGAATGTATAATCGAGGATTTGATGAAAAGACTTAAGAGATTGAAATGGGTGCGTGTTGGTTTGGGGGAAGAGGAACTTTGCAGTTGGAATTGGGTTTGAGTTTCTTTCTGCTGGTTTCTTCTTCTTCTTTGCCATTTCATCGTTTCATTGCACAATTTGTAGATTTTCGCCATGTTATGTAGTAACCCAAAATAAATTCTAGTCTTTCATTTCCACAATAACAGTGATAGATTTTGCGATGGTTCTTCCCATGATACGAGCGATTGGCGAAGCCGACCCCATGGGAATTGCTATTTGTACCAAACCAAACAAATCAAATTTCTATTAATCATAACTAGCTTTGTACCCGGCCGGGAGCCCAATAACTATTTTGGATTTTCTAAATTTTAATTTGGATGCAATTTCTTAACCAAAACCACAATTCCTCATCCAATAATTTTGTATCCTTAATATAAACAACATATATTTCTTAGATAGAACATTCCTCCCTCGATCGAGGAATAATGATTCTTGGTTCAATTTTAAATGTTGTCCACACATCTATTCTTAATATCTAAAAACAACCTTTTTTTAACTTGAAGTAAACTTTAGTAATTAATATTCACATTATTAGTTTATAATTCTGGTCCCACCTAAAACACTTTAACAATGACTTAAAATATCGGGCGAAAAAGACACAATCATGTTTCGGTTTGTACCTTCTCTGTTGTAACAAAAAAAAAAAAATCATAAATGGAAAGGGTGTATATTGATCTACAAATTATATTTATTTTCAATATATTTTGACAAAATATCCTATACCTCCCTGATATCACCTTAGTTTTCAATTCAGTTTTTTTTTAAATTTTATAGAAAGTACAGCCGAACATATTATTAATGATCTATAAATTTTTGAAAAATAATCAAGAGAAAATATAACATTCATACCGCTCTGGTACTTGGCGGTCACTTGTAGTAGACGAAGGTGAAATATGATAAATGGTAGTTAGTATACTTTTACTATTATGTATAAAACCGTTCTAATTCTACTATGTCCATACGATCAATGATACATTTCTATGCCTTCATGGTGTAATCTTGTCTACTACCAAACATTACTGTCAAAGTCGATGTCATTTCGAATAGTGCAACTAATATATTTTTTGTGCAAGAAAGAATTAAATTTTAACTTAAAACAAAATAATATGGTCCGCTAAATTAAATTGAAATTATTTTTCTAAGAAGTTACGAATCCATTCCCACATAGAAACATTTTAAGACAAAAATATTAGCCATTTTCGGTTATATAGAAGTTATCAATCTAAATTTTAAAATGAATGAAATGGTCTTACACTCTCACTTTTTATTAATAAAATTCAATAAAACGGGCTTAAAAGGAAAGTTAAATGGAAAGGATTAAAGGAGGCGGGAAAAAGCTGGCGGTTAACGGCCAGAGGAAACGGAGAAATTAAAAGCAAGGAAAAAGCGAAACTTGCGGAGAGCCTCGGAAGGCTGACGTGTCATGGGGCTTATTTAGAAAGCGCTTTAATTATTTTATAGATCAAACCATCAAAACTAATACAACAACCAAATTAACCAAACTAAAGTTTAATCGGTTTGGTTAATTGGTTAACCAGATTAATCAATATAACACCATATTATCATTAAGTGACAAAAAAATTGGTTAATGCATCAATTCACAATTTGTATGATGAATAAAACATTACATTGAACACATAGTTATAGTTAACCTTTACATAAATAAATGCAACTAATACAAAGGTAACTACTTCGGTGCACTCACTTTTTTGGGTGCACTCAGTGCACCCAATTCTAAAAGCGTCCATAATACATCAAATTTTGAACTTTAATTGGTACTCTCAATGTAATATGATGATATGACATAGAATCATAACAAATCAATCCATTACCCTAACCCCTTAACCTTCAATTTTGAATCCCAACCCTAAATCCCAAATTGTAAACCTAAACCCTAACCCTAAATCCCTAAATCCTAAATCCTTCGAATTAAAGTAAATTTTGAATGAATTTTAAAAAAATTCATGTGCTTCTTTTTCATAATATCATAAGCAACAATTGATACTGTTTTGACATGAATCACATGGTTAGAATGACAATTATGAGGCGGGTGCACTGAGTGCACCCGAAAAAGTGGGTGCACCGAATACACCACCCTAATACAAATATACATTATAGGAAAAATATTGAGTTTTTATTGTTGATGAGCCTAAAAGGAAGGAATCTTTGGCTCTTGAGTGGTTATTCCAAGTATTAAGTACGTGTATATAATATATATTAGATATATGGATAATTACTTAACTGGTTAAGTATGTTTGATTGGTCAGGAGTGTCTGAAACCAAACCAAACCACCTAAACCAAACAAGCTAAAACTTTTAACCAAACCAAACCAATTATTCAAATTAACCAAACCAAATGAGCCAAATACTGTCGGTTAAAACGGTTACCACGATAACCACACCGTTTGAACACCCCTACTATTCGTGACACTAAAAATTCTTATTCGTCGGCTTAACTATATTAAATTTACTCTAATACCCTTAATTTATTCGCCGCTCTAACTTCTATTCTACGAGTGCTCTGACAGGCCGCTTCTTCGTTCCAAGGTAATAGAATGATGCACTTACGTGAAATCGCCTCGTTGTGTGTATTGGAAGGTTTGATCACCTACATTGGAAAGACGTACACCGCTTCAAATGCAATACACGCCCATATGCAGACTCGGTTGCATGTCGTGACACATGCAACTCATAGACTGGAGATTCCACGTGCCTATGGGGCACTATTAACAGATTCCCTGAATCGTAGCTACACATAATATGTATTGTAACGTGGTCTTGATACAAGGAAATGTTAGGGGGAGCTTTCATATGCATATCAAATAATCAAAGCTGAAAAAAAAAACACAAGAGTTTTTTAACGTGTTATCGTCACTATGATTCTAGTCCACAATGAGTATCTCCCTCTCAGATTTTTGGTATCTTATTGCTTACTTTCAACGTAGTACACAACATCATATAAATAGGTTTGCTCTACAAACCCTAACTACACGTCCTTGACTATTTGCAAATCGGTACCCTATTAATATTAAGTACACGAGCCTTCATCACTTGCTACACCACATGCTCATAACTTGAGACACCACCTCACCTACGAGAACCTCAACTTCAAGAAAATTTTGGGATGGAACGAAACTTGAGCATCATCGTCCGACTCATGACGTGAAAGAAGTGCTTGGTAAAAGGCAACCCAACCACTCCGGTTTGTACTTTCTTTAACTTTGCTTTGGATTTGAAGTCAATAATCCTATTCCATCCACCATCATTCACACCTAATCCGGTAACTTCATTTTACCCTCATTATCTTTCATCCATCGAGGACAATGTCGTACTTAAGTGTGTGGGGTGTTCCATGATGTCTGTATGTGTCAATAAATGGTTTAAATAAATGATATGACCTAATATATGAATGCTTTGGAGCCTTAATGAATGCGCAAATTGCAAAAATGAGGGCTCAAAGCACCTGTGTTGATACATGATAGGTTTTGCTTCCATTTCCTCTTAGATGTGTTGATACTATTTATTATCGAGGTTAGTTCATATGTGTGTGACTCTCCACCATTTTGGACTCCAAAAGGTTTTGAAAAAGGTGCTCCATTTTGAAATGTTTTGAAAAATGAGTGTTCTCACATGAAAGGCAATTAGTCATAGTATTTATTGCTTGTATTATTGGATAATATCTTGTTTTGATTCATTCGATAATTATTTATCTTTGTAAATGTGCATAATTTTTAAGTTAAGTCGTCAAATGAATTTTCTTTTGAATCGAAGTGCCATTTGCGGATGTGTTTGGGGATCTGATAGGTTTCTAGCGTCCAACCATCATATTTTCTACCTTCCATTCTCCAAACACCTCTCCTCCTTACGGGACTGGTCTCGGAGGAGATAGTGTGCCTCTACGCAAGTCAGAAGACTTTGGCTCTTGTTATTATCTCACATGTGTGACAACTCGTCTGTCGTTGAGATGAGAGTGCAGGCTGGAATTGGTGCTTGAGAGATCAGGACTCATGTCCTAACGCTTCACCTTCCTACACTTTTCATCCTCTCAACCATCACTTCCCCATGATGCTGAGAAAGAGAAGTCAATCTCACTTTTGCTCTTAGCCATGAGTTAGAGAGCCCCGATTGTGCAAAAATGCTAGTGTAGTGCGTTGTTCTGCAAATTTAAGTTGTGGCTTCAAATGTGAGCTCTTTAAAGTATGAGTACTACCATTGAGTCCATTGATTTTGAGTTTTGACACGTTTTTTTAGAGTCCAGTGCATAAGTGAAGTGTCTAGACCTCTTTAATCGGCAAGGTCCCCATCCGAGTTTGTGTTTACGCATTAAGGTGGAAGTGAGTTTTTTTTTTACCATATGATTGACTATGTAAGTGCAACCGATGACCTATAATGCATACTGTCATAAAAGTCTTGCAATTTTTACCATTTTGAGTAGGTTTGCTTGGAGACAAACAAATGGTTAAGTGTGGTGGTGTTTGATTGTACATGTTTTACCCCTTCATACCTTAGCAATCGAATCTCTGTAAGTAATAGTATTGGCCATCACTTTTGAAAGCTAAGCGCTACTGGACATGGTTCGTTGAGGTCCAACTCAACTTACCTTGTCTTCCAACTTGCATAGTTCCCATCCATTTGGGATCGTGGCCATATTCGGGATGTCAAGGCAGGTGGACAGCTGGGCCTCCATTATGTTCAGGTTGGCAGATATCTCCTTGATGTATCTGAATGGCTAAACATCGCCCTAACTTTACTAATATCGCCTTAACTTAAAGATAGAAATGACATAACTATCCCAAAACAAATAAAATAAAATTGCGACCAAACATACAAATTACTCCACAGCCATCGAGAACCTCCGCCTGCCTCCGCCGCTTATTTTTCTCCGCCTATAAAGACCACCCTTTATGATGTGATATCAATTAGTACGATATTCAATTCTCGTGGCCCTAAACTAAAGGTTCGAGTGCGGAGATGCAAGTATCAATTAGGAGCGTTTAAGATGGATGAAGTATCGCAAGCAAGCTGCTCAATTCAACTGTGCATGACTCTTGCTTGGCAATGATGTGATTCCCCGCAACAGAAGGAAGAAAGGAATTACTTGAGGACTAAGTCATTGCTTTTGGCGGATTCTTGGAAGATTCTTGCTTTATTTCCTTTCTCTTTTGGGCGGATCCTTGCTTTATTTCCTTTCCCTTTTGGGTGGATCATTAGTTTATTTCCTTTCCCTTTTGGTATTTGCATTCCTTATTTTATAGAGAGGA